CCTAGCGACCTCAACAATAACGGCACTAAACTGTCAAGGTTTTATGCAAACAACGGACTGTCCATTATGAATACCTTGTTCGAGCATCGAAGAGTGCATCAGTAACCTGGTACATGAAAGCACGTGCACAGAAGTCGATGGTCGATTTGATGATCGTATCGTTTGGCTTCAATTTCATTGCCTGATTGAGTACTGACGCTCGACAAACCGTTTCGATTCAACTTTTAAACAGCTGCATGTCAAGGAGACACCCTCTTTTCTAAGCTTTGCACATTGGCTCTGGAATCCTTCTTTAACCGTCTGAACTAGGCGATGGCATTATCATCAATGGAAAACGACTTCCGTCTCGGCTAACTCTTTGCAGAGGACATCATTACCTTCGCCAAAGGTCCGGCGGAACACCAAACAAAAACTCTGCGGTTGCGGAAGGAGTCACTCGCTGTGGAGATGAATGTCTCTTAAGCGCGCAACATGCACTGCCCCGCGGGAGCCATTGACGACGAAGAAGTGGAAAAGTTGCCAACTCGGTTACCTAATAGGCTCCAATCACGACATCGACCACGAAATCAGCAGAAGAAGGAAGACTACATGTGTGAGTTTCAATGCCACCAAAACATGATTGACTGCTGGATAACGAGCTGCCATGTTTAAGAATAAACAACTTTCGACCCTGACGTCCTACCGGTCATGATTTACGGTACGGACTATTAAGGTACTATCAATGTTGAGGAAAAAACTAGTAATAACACGAAGGGCGATAGAACGAACAGTATGGCAGGTTTCCATTCGAGGCTATGTTCAGAGTGCGATGGGTCAGTGTCAGACGCACACTATTTTTGGATGTACTCTCTGCCGCCTGTAACTCAAAGTGACGATGGGCTGGCCGCAAGGGAAACAGGTGGACATCCAGAGTTATCAACCGCATCCCCTTAGCAACAATCGTTCACTCGGTCTTCAACCAATACTTTGGGACGACCTGATGGTAAAGCTGTTTGTTCAACGGCAGAAGGAAAGGGGTCATCACACCGAAAAGAGTGGCGGAAAGTCGACTTGCGTCTGTGGTGCGGCCGCTGATGGAAACAAGTCAAATACAGGCATCCTCTAACTTAGGACGTTCGAAATGAATGTTCGCTTTAAGAGAGGCACAGAGCTGTCAACCGTTCATCGCCTCTTTGTTGGCACCCTCAGATGCGTACGATAGAGTACGACGCAAAGACGGGCAACAGAAGCATCCAGGAAATCAAATAGGGAATTATTTTCTTGCACACAACGTCGCAGGACGGTTTGAACAGATCCCAGTGACGACTGCTTATGTGGAAACCGGATGGAAGCTCGTTGAGAGCGTCTTGTACAAGACTGTTGCCAAATGCAGCGGTTAAAAACGGACTGGCCTGCCGTTTAGAGGTCAGAAACGAACTACCTGGTGGACACGAGATGTGCAACTGGCTGTCATCAAGAAGAAGGCTGCATCTTTGAGCTTGCTTGGAAACAAAGTGCCTTTTACTCGAATACGAAAGGTGATTCGTTTAAAATTACCGTTAAGGTGCTATATTCGAATTTCCAGGTGACGAGTAACGGGTATTTTGGCAGAGCACCCGCCTCCTCTGAGGTGAAAGTAGTGTGGTCTAAGATTTCTGAACGACAAGTCAGGACCCTCTAACTAAGGATAGGCACGTACTTCAGCGATGGTGGGAG